CGGTGCTAGTGACCTCATCCTACCTACTGGTGACCTCATCCTACACGGTGCTAGTGACCTCATCCTACACGGTGCTAGTGACCCATCTTAGGTGGGACATGGTGACCTCATCCCTACACGGTGCTGGTGACCTCATCCCACACGGTGCTGGTGACCTCTACATGGTGCTGGTGACCTCATCCTACAGTGCTAGTGACCTCATCTTGTGGAATGGTGACCTCATACTGGTGACCTCATCCTACTGCTAGTGACCCCATCTACACGGTGCTAGTGACCTCACACGGTGCTGTGACCCATCCTACACTGGTGACCTCATCCTACACGGTGCTGGTGACCTCATCCTACACGGTGCTGGTGACCTCATCCTACACGGTGCTAGTGACCTCAACCTACACGGTGCTAGTGACCTCATCCTACACGGTTCTGGTGACCTCATCCTACACGGTTCTGGTGACCTCATCCTACACGGTTCTGGTGACCTCATCTTACACGGTGCTAAATACTTTTTCCTACCTGAAACCCACAAAGCCTAATTAATCTCTCAATCCTGTTTTTACCTGATAAGCTTCCATTATAGGATCATTAACGCTCTATCACTTCCCTGAGCATTAATTAATAAACGAAGGTGTTGAAGGTCATTTCTCGAGATACAAGAACTAATCAAACTGGAGTATTATAAAGAAAATAATCCTCTTTTTAATAAAGCTCTTAACTTTAGAATACTTTATAATCCTGGTCAGCTGGAGGATAAACAGAGGCTTGGTTGATGAAGGCGGCTTTCATCCTGGCCTATTCAGAAGCCTACTGTGGTGACGTGATTACTGGCTCATCGTAGGCTCGCTAGTCTCCCAAGTACGCTGTGTCTTTGTTCAGAAGGCCTGCGTAGTTAGGCTCGGGTGCACTATATAAAACAACACACACTTTAAACAGTATGTATTTGTATAAAATGTGAGCGTATATGTATGTATGTATGTGTGTATGCATGTATATATATATATATAACTTCCGTTCCAGAATGCAATTTAATCAGGAAACATTTGATATTGATTGTCCATTCCTGGTCATAAACCTAAGGCCCCCTTCAACACTACAGCTTATACACTCGTAGCCTGTCAGCCTCCACCTGTTGTCTCACTCTCCCTCCCTCTACCACACAGTCATACATCATTCTAGTTGTCTTGTCTCGCGGGTACCTCTCCTCGCTCTCTGTGTACCACCGCCACTTTCACAGGAGAATTTCCCCCACTCAGAAACAACCACCTGTTTTATTTGCATTTCAGGCCAATTTCTAATCTGCCTAACCCCTTTTTCGAAGTGTTTTACTTCTTCTTAATTCCATTCAATCTCCCTACCAACATGCCTGAATCATACACGGACACTAACAGATGTCGGTACTGAATTCTCTCCATCGCTCTTTATTCGTGGTTTTACTAGTCAGGAGACCCGCCCAGCCTCGCTCACCCCACCATCACCGAGGAAACTAAACAGCCAGGGTGACATAACACAAGCCTGTACGACTCCAGTCTGGTCGTCACTCCGTCACTCACTCTTTCACTACTACTGACCCAGACACGAGTCCCTCCATAAAGGCCTTTCATTGCTTACACTACACCTCTTCACAATCTCAAGGTAACACGCAATCTTCCCCATTCACTTGTCACAATCCTTGTTTACAATCTATTGAAAGTTTTTTTTTACTCTTACTCACTTTTCAAGAAGGGGATGACTTTCACTCGGTACATACATTTTAACTATACCTACTTCCCAAATCCTCATCCCCTTAACAACTCCCTAACTCCCTAACTCCCTGTGTCCCTCCCTCATCTGCTACTCCATCATAGACTCTCCTTTACTAGATATCTAACTGTTTCCTATTACTACTATGACCTAAGTATACGTAACATAACTGCAATTAATACAAGACAAATAATTATAATCCATAGTAATAATTATCCTACTGAGTTATATACTACACAATATAATCGGTGAGATATTATTAACACAAGTTTCATGACTGTATATAGACGTAAAGTTAAGTAATGTGTAGTAACTAACGTGACAGAAAAGTTAGTGTGTCATTAATATGATAATTATCAGTGCGGGAAATTATATAATCTTAACCAATCACTGTTTATTACGTGTGTGTGTGTGTGTGTGTGTGTGTGTGTGTGTGTGTGTGTGTGTGTGTGTGAGAGAGCATGACGGAGGGCGGACACACCTCAACCATTGGCCAGGTTAAGTCACCCATGTCTGTTTTAAACAATGAAAAAAATTCTCCAACTAATGAAAAAAGTTTCAATTTTCATTGTCAATAATTAATTTCCTTGTTTTTTGTTTTTGTTTCGACATATTTTCTAACCTTTACTGAAAGTTAGAGAAAAATACCCCCAGCAAGTGAACGTTTTACCCTACAACTGATGTATTTCTCTGTAAAGTTTCACAAAAGACACAACAGGCTCAAAAAAGGTTGAAAAAAATCCATTTACTTAGATGAAAATTATAACTTTTTCATTACTTGGAATTTGTATGTCAAATGGTTTTACTAAATAGGCGGCGCTATTCTGGACCAATAACGTCATTTGGTAAATATAATATATATATATATATATATATATATATATATATATATATATATATATATATATATATATATATATATATATATATATATATATATATATATATATATATATATATATATATATACACGACGGACATCTACAGTATATTACTGGTATATGATAAAGATGAATTAAAATGACAATTTTTAGACAAATATATAAAGAAGAAAAACTATGACGGGAAAAACGCGCTAAAAATAAGATAAATAAATCGGAAAAATAGCGAAGGATAAAGAATATCACCTTCCTTCTCAAATATTGTAGACAGAGCTAATGATGGGTTGGGGGTGACTCGAGCATCATGAGGAAGCCTTTCACAACCTCTCAGGCGAAAACAGAATCCTCCTCTGAGCTTCCCTGGAGACTCTCACCTCTCGCATGACTCAAGGATAAGCGATACATGACCGACACCTTATCAACCATGCTGGGGGGAAAACTTGAGTGAAAAATATGTCAGGGTTTGGTTTTTTTTGCTACAAGTGACATAGTCGAGTGTTACCTGTGGAGAGTGACAAGGAACTACTGTACGTGTTGTGGTTTATCTTTACGACTTGAGGAAATTATACGTGATGATTACCTGTTCAAACTCTCTCTCTCTCTCTCTCTCTCTCTCTCTCTCTCTCTCTCTCTGTCTCTCTCACTCTTCCAACTCACTTTCTTACGCTTTATCTCTCTGATTCCTTCTCTTCCTAAACCTTTCTACATTCTCCCTGCCTCTCACCTTCTCAAAAATACTTCCCCATAAAAAAAACGATCTATTTGTTGCATTACATTAGTCCTCTACAATATTGTCCTCTCCACAGGTAAACCATATATTATCATTATATTCCCGCTAAGTTTATAAAATGCTCACTAATTCACCCCGGATATCACAATTCTCTCCGGGGAAAAGATAAATATAATCTACACCTCAAAACGTCAGGCAAAAGCTTATGAATTAATACCTGGGTTAATTACTGTATTCCTTTTGTACCTGCACACTGTTTTTTGAGCCTCGCCACGTTAATTTTTACTTCATTTTCCAATTTCTTATCGTAAAAATAATTCAGTGTGTTTTAACAGGAATTGATGATGTTACGTTGTATTTGGTGATTAAAATATAAAGTTAATAATTACCATTTTGTTCAAGGTATTATTTACTCTATTCTTGTCTCTTCTTAATGAAAATATAGTTGTTACTTTAGATATTCTAATGAGAGTAATTAGTATTTTGCAAACAATTATATACCCATTTTCAATAATATTTCTATAGAAAAAGATATGTCAATGACTCAGTTTTTCCATAAGAATGATTTAAAGTCTTAAGAATGTATAAGTTATTCATTTGTTATACCCAGTGAAATATTGAGTTATACTAACACTTATTTAAAACTTAGGTAAGTTTATTAAAAATGAAATATAATAATTACTACCAGAGAATTTCTCATATTCATCTACGTTCCAACATTTTATTTCTATGAATAATTGAAATTCTTGAAAAAAAATATCAAACGTATTCAGTTAATTTTCTAATATTATGAATTTATTTCGTAGCTCAGTAAAAAAAATGATATTATTCCAACCAAATGATTCAATTATTTATGAGAACATCATAATGAAAAAAATATATAATAAGGCTATTTACTGTATATAACAACGGATAATTTTTCTCAGTAATTCGAACTCTCTTTTACAGGACATTAAAAAATAATATAATTTCCTCAACAGAGATGACAACTTTGTGAGGGATTTGGAGGCTGGATAGAAAAGCGTATTTGGAGGTTTTGATCACCGGGGTAAAATATGCAACATTTGTGGCTAAGCAGGAGTATAATACCTTTGTGCCTTTGTAACGAACCTGTCAAATCTAATTATTTAACGTCCAAGAATGTCGCTTCGTACTCCGATACAGATTCTTGGGTCACAGAAAGCACTAATAAGGTGTGAATTTGGCCATAACGATCAACCATTCTCCTGTTTGGGTAATGGAAGAGGTAACATTTGTCATCGTCAATATTATTATTATTATTATCATTATTATTATTATTATTATTATTATTATTATTATTATTATTATTATTATTATTATTATTTTAAAGCTAGTGAGAGAAACAAAAAGGCGGGAAGTGGCAGGCAGATGTGCTAAAGAGACGAGAGAGAGAAAGAGAGAGAGAGAGAGTCTACACTGAGCGTGGGAGTGAGATTTAAAAGGTAGAAGGTTAACCTGGCTGTGTTCATATACCTCATCCATCCGTGGCGCTGTGCTCTTTAAACCCCACAGACACACACATTCTTTAAACCATACTCACATACAATTCATATTTCCCCCCCCCCCCATTAAGGTATCATCGGCTCGTCATTAATGGAAATAAAATATGTACGAGTAATTCAAATCCCAGGATGATTGAGGTGAATGACACAGGAATATCCCAGAGTAAGAGTTATGTTTGTCAACTAGGAGGCCACGATACTGTAGTGCAGAAGAATATGATGTTGGAAGCCAAGATGGATTCCCTCAAAGTGTAAATTCAGTGTTTATAAATTTCACTACATCAATGTCCTAATACACAGATACATAACAAGCATACGTACACATACACATAACAAGCATACGTACACATACACATAACGAGCATACGTACACCTACATACACATAAACAATAAAGGACACTTGGACAATAAACGCATTCATACACTTGCACAGATGGGACACGTGCACATAAACAGACCTCTTGCCACTCAATTTGTCACCCACTCAGTTATCCACTCTGCCGCCCACTCTGCCACCCACTCAGTCATCCACTCTGCCGCCCACTCTGCCACCCAATCAGCCACTCACTCTGCTACCCATTCTGCCACTCTACGTCAAAGCTCGCCACCCACTTCCCCATGGGATCTCATAAGACAAAGCCGCCCTCTCTACCACCCACCTTGCCACCCAAAGCAAACAGGCGAATCAGCCACCACCCACTTTGCCGCCTCATTCAGCCTGCCACCCTACACTAAGATAGCGAGGTATAAGACAAAGCCACCCACTCTGCCGCCCACTCTGCCGCCCACTCTGCCACCCAACATCTGCGGGCCCCCTCCAGGAGCGTACCCGAGGCCAATACCTTAATCCAACTTCAGCAGAGTCAAGACCCAACAATTTCTGAACATATTCCCAAGATGAAACTTGCGCGTAGGAGGAGACGACGACCACCAGCACGTGTGGACAGGGTACGACCAGGAGAGGACGACTTGGGATTAGAGTACAAGTGGAATGTACGACCAGGGACTTGATTACGACTGGAAAATATGACTAGAGTACCACTGAAAAATACGGCTAGGGACGTTAATGTGACTGGGATGTACTGCACCACCAGGACCTTGAGTACGACTGGGATTAGAGTACAACCAGTGGAGTACGACTAAGGGCTGTAGGTTTGGACTATTAACGTATACATACAAGGCTGAAGATACTAATAAGTACGACCCAGAGGACAGGTGATACGACTAAGGACAGAAGGACGCTACTGTACAATCGGCAAAGATCAGAGATTGCACCAACTAGTAAGAAAAGAGAGAGAGAGAGAGAGAGAGAGTACTGTATTACTGTATATACGAAAACAAATTTATATCCCACATAGACTAGGATATACTGTACAAGGAATATATTACGACGTGGCAGAACAAAACCTTAACTAAACAACTCCATTAACACAGAGGAACAGCAGTTGAACCCCTCATGTTGACCTCCACGACCAATAATAATAGTTGTGTTGGACACGCATCATATTAATTTACAAAGTCCAATTAATGAGAAATGAGGTCACGACTGTGTTTATGGAGGTGTGTGATGCGGTACACACTGTATCACTTGTACGAGTCTGAATGGAACTGCAGTCATGATGGGTCCCAAACTAACCTTAGCCATTATACTAATAGAAACTAATTCAATCGAACCTAACCAATTGGACAGATGATTTTTAGCTTTGGGTCCCACTAGGATTGGGGCAGGTAAGGAGTGACCCCCTAATTATAATGATTAATGTAGGCTATAGCCTTTAGGATATAGCCTATTCAGTCAGTTGAGACCAGCATGGCTATAAAACAAACTGTGTTTATTAACTGATATAATTTATTTTTGTCTTCCATCTTGTGTGTGTGTGTGTGTGTGTGTTGAGAACTTTCCATACTCCAGAAACAAAGGCTCACTAACCACACAGACTAGCCAAACTTTACACCTCGACACACTTAAAACAGTTCCCCTATACAGAAGTTGTGCCAGGAGCCTCGTATTGGTGTTCTGTCTTTGGTGATCCATTATGGCACTTCTTACTCCGAGTCCTATAAGTGTATTCGGTCCTGCAGGATATATTATAGACACTCTCTCTGTCAAGAAAGGCTAAACAATGTGTACTGTATGACTCATCCGACGGTCCACAAAGATAATTTTTTGGGGTCGTTAGGTTTCTTGACAAGCCAAGGGTGAGATACAGACTATGACCATTATTTTGTGTTTGAGCGTGACACACACACACACACATACACACACACACACACACACACACACACACACACACACACACAAATACACGCCTTTATTCTCCCCCAACTAACGTATGCGTCACCAGCCTGGTCGTCTTCTCTCAACTCCACCCAACAACGTCGGCTAGACTACTCCGGCTACATCAACGCTCTCTCCACCCTGGAAAAGCCATCCCTCAGTGACCTCCACCACCAAGCACGAGCAAGGTTTGGCAGTGGACTTCTGCACCATCCTCGTCATCGCCACCTCCTGCCACCGGCAGCCCCCCACCCACCTCGCGCAGTCCGCCACTACAACAAAATTCAGCCCATAAGAGCCTGCACCGATAGATATAAGAACAGCACCATCCCACCTATTGTTAAAATAATAAACAACTCCTGATTTATGTACTGTACAGCCCTGTAAATGTATTCGACGCATATTATATCATTATGTCTAAATCAAATGTAAGTTTGTATATTTTCAGGCACCGGCTGCAACTCTATTAATATACCGTTTATCATTATTATTATTATTATCATTTTATTATTACACACACACACACACACACACACACACACACACACACACACACACACACACACACACACACACACACACACACACACACTCGCGTCCTCATCATGAAATCCTAAAGCAAGTAACAAGTTTCAGTTTATCTTAAAAGGCGACGCTGTTAGTTTCACTTTATGTGTGAAACAATAGTTTAGTACATCTCTGGACACGTGAATATATGCCCACATTTTCACAGTTTGTTCTTCGTATTTGTACCGATAAACTGACAAACTCGTAAAGAGGAAGCTTTCTTTTTGTTTATTTTGTTCACTAAGATTTATTTAAAATCTAGTCATCAACTCTCTGCCAGATTATCACATCATTCTGTAAACACAAAAGAAAATTATATTTTTTGGTCACTTACATTAAAACTGTAATAAAAGGTTTTATATTTTTTCTACTTTACGTCGAAATGGATTTTGCGATTGTAATGAATTCGTCACTAAAATGAAATTTTCTTAATATTTGTATACATGAAGTTAATTTTCACTTGGGTTGAGGTGGCAGAGAGAATACAACACTGGGGATCTGTCCTAAGAGTTAGACGTTTACTGAGTGAGACACAGACTGTAGAACACGGTAAGAAGGACGTGAATAATAATGACACGATGAAAACAACAATACAAGTATGTTGTAGTGAAGCAGGAGAGTTAAACACACTGTAAAAGTCATTCAACATCCTTATGAGCCCCACACCCAAGGATACCCACACACGCCCACCTCCTCATAAATTTATCAACCAAAACTTAGATTTTCAGAAACGTGTTTAAAACTGCCACACTGTGTCTTGAACTTTAAAGAGAGCTTATGTACGGTACACTAGTGGTTAAGCATTTATTTCAGGGTTTAAAGCGTTGTCTTTTACAGCAGTGTGTCGAGTCCATTAAATATAAGTAACGCTATTGTTTATAATGTATACGTGTGTGTGTGTGTGTGTGTGTGTGTGTGTGTGTGTGTGTGTGTGTGTGTGCGTGTGCACATGTGTGTGTGTGCGTGTGCGATAATGACTGTGTGTGTGTGTGTAATCATGTAATGTCAATAGGATATAAAAGGTATATACTTCACTTTGCCTTTTGCCTCATAATATATTACTTGTTTTGGTGTCGCTCTCTCACTCAACACAAGATAGATATATATATACATCGATTAATCTTCCATAATACAAGAAGGAAAGAATTTAAGGTGTTCTTATGAGGTTAATAACATACAATGCACACCAAAAAAGGCAATTGTGGTGGACTAGACCATTACTACCCTAGGCGCCCATACCACTACCAGCCTTGTTACTTTCTGCTAATGATTAAAGTAACTTGGTTAATAATTCCCGCAGTTTTCTTCTGTAGTTTTTAAGATATTTCACGTCCCCCATACGCTTCGCTTGTTATTCTTAAAGGTCTCTTGTAGCGTTTGAGGGAATCTGTAAACTCGAGAATTTCATTTTGATACTCATTATACGGATATAGTCTGTGAAATATCATACTTAAAAGGTGAACAAACTTACGCGTCATACTGATGAAAGATAAAACAGCACAAAATAAACTTATATTTACAACCCACAACCATAACTCACAGGACAAACACTAATAATATTTGTTACGTAGGAAGAAATAGACTAGATTACCTTCCTACGATTATGAGTAACTGAGTATGTTAAAGTTTACCTTAAACCTCTACATTTAACTTCTACCTTTAACTTTTACCCTTAACCTCTACCTTTAACCTCTACCCTTAACTTCTACCTTTAACTTCTACTCTTAACCTCTACCTTTAACCTCTATCATTCAATATTTCCCTTTAACTTCTACCCTTAACTTCTACCTTTAACCTCTACCCTTAACTTCTACCTTTAACTTCTACCCTTAACTTCTACCTATAACCTCCACCCTTAACTTCTCCCTTTAACCTCTACCCTTAACCTCCTCCTTCAAATCAAAGAATAAAGAATAAACTCAATAAGAGAAACGCTATAAACAGGTTGGTCGACACGTCAAGATTATATTATTATGATGTATCTGACACACACACACACACACACACACACACACACACACACACACACACACACACACACACACACACACACACACACACACACACACACACACACATGGTAGTGTGTGCTGTTTATTACAGCCTTCAGCTACATATTCATCTTGACTATTTTATTAGATTAGATGAAATAGCAGATTTATGTTTACATAGACAGGTCATTAACATAGATAACTTAAACAATTTTATTTTTTGTAAAGATTCCTGATTTATCTCGAATTTAGTCAATGGTTAGCAAGAGCTCGATTAATTAAACCTGCGTCAAATGTTGTGTCACGACTGTGAAGGCCAACAACATAGTGTATCCATTGAATACTAACATAAATTATGTCCAGTTACTTTGGAAAGTTTCATCTTGTTCCCCGTTACTCCGTAGTCTATAGTAC